TATATTGCTATTGGAGCTCCGCTATTAGGTGTTACCTAATTTTTATATTAGCTTTTTTCTAAAATGATAACATTTTTCTGAATGTTGGAGTTCTAGAAGTCGCTTATAGAATATACACCTACTTGCGAAAACGTTGTCATAAAAAATAGGACATTTGTATTTTAGTAAAAAGGAATAAATTAAACAGACAAAAGAAGATCACTGAGGCTGAACACTTTCCTTTGTTTTGTTTTAATTTATGCCTTTTTACTAAATTCGAATGTTCTATTTTCTATGACAACGTTTCTGCAAGTAGGTGTATATATCCCGATAAAACACGCACTCTCGTTCTATAAACAGCACTTCCAAGACTGTAGAGTGCAAAGAATATAACCATGAAACATTAACAAAAACTAATTTTACTAAATGTACGATTCCAGAGTAAAAGTACCTGGGATGCTCGTCGGAATTCTTAGGGGTAAAAATTCGTGATTGGGAATMTTTTGGGGTTTCGTTACGCTTACTCGAGAGAGATCGTTTCAACACTTGACTATAAAAACCGTATCTCCGCGCGCCCATGTAATATCCTATTTATCTTCCATATTCTTTTCACTGTAAAAAATGTATATATATATATAAAAACGAGAAAGAAAAGAAAGAAAAGCGGAAAAAAATGTCAACCTGTCGCCACATTGCGAAATTCTTGTTAACTTTTTTTTAATCTTAGGAAACGATTACCCACGAATTATAACGAAGACGTGTCACTCAATTTTTTACAGAGGTGGGCATGTTCTAAATAATGAAGCAAACACACACAAACAAAAAAAAGTATTAAGAATAGGAGAGCAGGGGGTCGTTTGTTCGATAATAAATTAATGATATAGTATTGCATATTTTGAAGACTTCGAACTCTATGTAACCAAACATTCGAGTTTTTATTAATATGAAAATACACACCGTATGCCATGATTTTTGATTATAGAATACCCGTTCACCCCAAAAAGCTGTATAACTTAGTGTAACCGCGGTCCGCAGTCGGTAGTGAACTAAATAAGCATATAACTTAGTGTAACCGCGGTCTGCAGTCGGTAATGAACTGAATAAGCATATAACTTAGTGTAACCGCGGTCCGCAGTCGGTAGTGAATTGAATAAGCATATAACTAAGTGTTGGGCTACCTGTGTTGACTGACTGCGGACCGCGGTTACAATCATTTTATATAGTCATTTGTGGTGAGGGGGTATTCTATAACCTAG